AGCCCCTGCCACCAACAGGTGTGGCAGTGGGGCCCCCCCCCCCCTGGCTGGGAAATGGGGGTCCCCAGGAGCCCTCACCCAGGTGTGGGGTGCCCCGTGTCCACGTAGGATGGGTTTTGGGGTGTGGTGAAGACCAAGTGCTGGGGTGGGCTCACGCCTTTCTCCTTAATTTTCCACCCAAAACCCAACCCCTCTGTACCCCCCATCCCGGCTGTGCTGGGAGCACCCATGGGTGCTGAGCCCTGCTGACGCCAGTGCCGTCTCCAGGTCGTGATGCGGCTCCGCTCATCCTGTGCCGACCTGAGCGAGGAGGAGGAAGATGTAGCCAAGCTGGGGGTGGACCTGTCCAACTGCCATGCCAGCACCGAGGGTTGCCGGACATACCCCTGCACACCAGACGCGGTAAGGTGCCTGGCCAGGGCACCCCAAATCCCGTTTTCTCCATTCCCACTCCAAATCCTATAGTAATCCAATGTAATTCCCCCACCCAAAATCCCAAACTTTGTAGCTGCGGAGCCTGAGCTGCACCCAGCCACCTCTGCTCAGCCTCTCGTCCTTATTTTGGGGTAAAACCAGCCCTGTTTTGCCCATTTCCCCCATGGCAAATGGGGATTTCTGCTCCTTGATCCCCTTCCCACCCCCAGCCTTGCTCGCTTCCGAAGGTTTTTCCAAAGTCTCTTTCCCCAGCACCGTGGGATGGAGATGAAACACTGGGGGCTCATTTTGGGATGCTGAGGAGGTGCCCCTGGGGAGAACCAGCATCCACCTGGTACGTGGTGGTGGGCAGCGCCGTGGGGTGATGGTGTTGGGGGGGCTGTGGGGCCACCCCCCATCACCACCACCCCAATATTCACCCCAGGAGGAGCCGCAGGAGCAGCCAGATGGGCAGCTGCGGCCAAGGCTGGAGACCCCCATCCACCACAGCCTGCAGCGGCCGACGCTGGATGAGACCCTCGTTGCCAGTGGACAGCACCGGGTGGCCCAGCTCGTGGAGGACACCACCCAGCAGATGGGTAAGAGCCACTGGCTGGCATGCAGCTACGTCCCCGTGTCCCATCTTGGGGACCAACCCAAGCTTTTGTGCCTCCTTACAGGGAACGTGAGCAGCCGTGAGGCCGCGGGGCTCCGAGAAGGGCACCAGGTTGTCCTGTCCAACCTCCACCACGCACAGAAAAGAGCTAAGGACGTCTGTTCCCAACTAGGTGGGAGCATGACAAATTCCATTCCCAGCTCTTTTTGCACCAGGACACCCCTGGGTGCAGCTTCCCCGGCTCATCCCCACGCCATATCCATCTCTTCTGCATGCAGAGAGCAACTTGGCCCTTCTCCTGGCCCGGCAGCGCCAGATGGAGGAGGTGATGGAGAAGCTGCGCTGGGTCAGCCGGAGCCTGGGGCTGATGCTGGCGGCTGTGGAGGATGCACGGAGCCAGCTGGAGAACCATCTGCAGCACCTCCACACCAGCCTTGACCCAGCCGGTGAGCTGGGGATGGGTGCTGGGGGGTGGATGGGTGCTGGTGGGTGCCAACGCTGGGCTTTTGCTCTCCATCTCACAGGTCAGAGCCCAAGTGCCATCTCCACCTGCATCCTACACGGCTCCTACTTTGTGCTGCTGGTCACGCTACTGGTGCCCATGCCGCCCCGTGCCATCCTCCTCCTCCTCTTCCTCGCCTCCAGCGCTCTCGGCATCCCGGCACTCTCAGCTTTCCTGGCCCTTGCTGCTGCAGGTGGGGATGGGTGTGGGGGGACCTGGTTGGGGACATGCCGTCCTCGGGGTGCTGCAGGGGTGGGCTGGGGGTGCTCTGCCTTCTCCCACCCTCTCGCTTCCTCGCAGGGCAATGGCTGGTGGCAGCCACCTGCTGCGGTGCTGGGGGAGCCTGGCTGGTGCTTCCCCGTGAGGAGCCCCGTCACTGGCTCACCTCCACCCCGGAGAGGTAGGAGATGGTTGGGGGCGGGGGGGCGGCCATGGCACGCTTGGGAGCTGCTGGGACCCAGCCTGGGCACCCATCCTGGATGTCCCATCCTGCTGCCATCTGGCAGAGGTCCCCAGGGTGGGCTGCTGGTCCCCAGGAGGGGACAAGACACATCTTGATGGCTTGCCTGCAGCTTTTGGGCACCCTCATCCCAGCTCCCTGCCCTATTTCTGCCCGGAGGAGGCTGTGGGGAGGCTGGAGAGGGGGCTGCCATCATGATGGTGACGCAGAAGCCACCAAGGCGATGGGGCTCTCTGGTTTTTCCTTCTTCCCATATAGGGAATGCGAAATGGAGCTGTTGCAGGAGGAGCTGGACAGGATGGAGATGAGCTGCCTGCAAGGTGAGAGCTGGCCAGGCAGGGGGACATGGGAAAGATGATCATGAGGTGGGAGGTGTGGTGGCTGTAGGGCAAGGGGCTGAAGCTCCATCATGTTGCGGGGGGGCACATGTGCTACCCCCGAGTGTCCCCAAGCTGTGCTAGGTCATCTGCACCACCCCAGGGTGTCCCCATCCAGCACCTGGGGACAGCGGCACTGGGAGCGTGTCACCACCTCTGCCATGTTCTTGCAGAGGCCTCGTACCTGGAGCAACCCCCAGCGATGGCAGGGGACCTCCCCGGCTTAGCACCCACCCCCGGTGGCTGGAGGACAAAGCTGAGCTCGTGCAGGGTAAGCCTGAGCTGGGGTTAGGTGCTGGGTGGGATGTCCCCAGGTTGGGCCAGACCCTGCTCCTGGGGGCCAGCTGGGTCCCTCTGAGGGTCAGGTCCTCTAGGGCTGGGGCGTCCTCATCGTGACTGCACCTCTGGGTGCTGGGCACCCCGTTGGGAGAGGGGCCAGGGCTGGTGCCGCAGGACTTGTGGGACATGACACCCAGGGAAGACTTCTGGATGGAGTGGGGGTGTCCTCCAAGGATGGATGGCCAAGGCACCCAACCTGTATGACCCAGATATTCCCAGGGGACAAGGGACATCTCCTGCAGGACAGGAGGGCCACCAGGGATGGTGTCTAAACCCTTTCTTCCCCAACCAGAGCAATGCCAGAGCTGGCCCTGGCTGCTGGGAAGCATTGGGAGCCCAAACCCTCCAACCCGTCCAGCGATGTGTGAGTGCCAAGCATAGGGGAACATCCCTTCTCCAGGGACACGTTGGGGCTGGTGTCACCTCGGGGTGGAACCAGTGACCTGACAGCCTCTCTGGGGGCGTCTTGGGGTGCTGGGGCTGATGGGTCTCTCTTCCATAGATCCTTACGGTCCCCATGCCAGGGGCTCACCAGGGCCGGGCAGCGGTGCCGGAAGAAAGCCATCCCTGGGCAGGACTTCTGCCATGTCCACACCACCAGTCGAGCCTCATGCAGCAGCTTGGCCATGGACTCCTCCCCCCGTATTTGACCCTCTACCCCCTTCCAGAGGGGTTTTAAACCCTTTTTTGGCTCTTCCAGATCCTGGTGGAGAACACATGGAGGTGCTCAGGACCCTAAGGGTACCATTCAATGTGGGTACGGTACCACACTGTGGGGCAGATGTGCCTTGTCCTACCAGTTTTATACTATTTGCATATATTTTAATAAATGCCATATTTACAGCTGGAGCCTTCCCTGTTCTGCCCCCACCCCATCCTGATGCTGGGGCAGGGGTGGCTTTGCTGGGGGCTTTGGGACCATCCCCACCTGCCAAAAGCAACAGCAAATGCTGTGCTGCCATTCCCGCACCAGAGAAACCACCCTGATCACCTTCCCTTTATTACAGCCTAATTACAGGTAATTAGCAGCGTAGCCCATTACAGCTCAGCAGGAGCTGCCAGCCTCCTGGATAGAGCCAAGGTGGTGGTGGTGGTGGCTCTAGTTGGTGGCTACCACCCTGTCTGGGGTCCCAGCACCTTCGGGATGCCCCAACCTTCCTCCCCACCCTGCCCTGGGTGTCCCGCGCCGCTCCCAGCAGCGGGTAGGAATGTGGGGGCTGTTCGCTGGGCTCTGGCCCCCTTTTACTTTGGAAATGTCACTGTCACACCCACCACCCCCACCCGCCCCCAGCCCCGTCCTCTGCCCCAGCAAAGGACAACCCTGAGATGAAGAGGATGGATGGTGCCAGATGATGCCGGTGCCGCGTTGGCCCCTCACTTCCTGGCGTTGGCGTAGTTGGCGCTGAACCAGGCGCAGGTCTCCTTCACGGCTGGGGAGGGAGAAGAGGGGGATGGGTTTGGGGATTGGGAACGCAGTTTGTTCATAGAATTATTGAATGGTTTGGGTTGGAAGGGACCTTTAAAGCTCATCCAGTCCAACCCCTCTGCCATGGGCAGGGACATCTTCAACCAGATCAGGTTGCTCACCGCCCCATCCAACCTGGCCTTGAATGTTTCCAGGGATGGGGCATCTCCCACCGCTCTGGGCAACCTGGGCCAGTGTCTCACCACCCTCAGCGTAAAACATTTCTTCCTTAGATCTAGTTTGAATCTCCCCTCTTTGAGTTTAAAACCATCACCCCTTGTCCTATCACTCCAGGCCCTACTGAAAAGTCTGTCCCCATCTTTCTTATCAGCCCCCTTTAGGTATTGAAAGGATGGACCACCCTGATGCCACCAAGGCTAACTGCAGTGGGTGGGGGGGACCCCTTTATTCTGGAGCCCCTCATCTCACCTTGCCTGAATGGTGTGAACTGGAAGCCGGGCAGGTAGTGCCGTAGCTTGGCGTTGCTGGCCGTCTTCTTGAACTGCCCGTCTGCTTTGGTGGTGTCGAACTGGTGCGGGAGGGATTAAGGGAAACCAAAGGGGGAAAACCAGGTCTCTCTGGGTGCTGCTCTGGGTCACGGCATCTCCCCTGGAGCCCTACAGCTGCTGGTGGAAAGTGGGGTGCCCCCCCATGCCGCAGCAGTCCCATGGGGGCCAGCCTGCGGTGAAGGATACAACAAGCTCTCCCCTGAAGTCCATGGCCTCTGTGATCGCCTCTGCTGCCTCCTTGATGGAGACTTCATCTTCTTCTCCCACTGTGGAGAAGGGCATGATTGTGGCTGTTCCTCCATCCTCTTGGAAAGGGGCTGGAGCGGGGGGTTATGGGGGTGCAGCTGGGCCTTACCTGACAAAATGATGGGTTCCACCTCATCGTATTCCCGCAGGACCCAAAGGAAGAGCCGGGCCAGGTCCTGCGGAGGGGCAGACAGCTCTTGGAGGGTGGCTGCTGTCCCCCAGCCCTCCCATCGCAAGGGGACCCAACCCTGAGGATGGCCAACGCTGCCCAGGACAACCCAGGTGGGCTTAGACCCTGCTGGGGTCCAGGCGCCGGCCCCCCCAGCCCCATGCGCTGCCCTCCCCAAGCTTTGGGAGGCAAATGCTCCGCAAGGCCACACATACCAGGGAGTAGATGAACTGTCTCCTGGGCTTGCCCGTGCCCCAGACGGTCAGAGCTGAGCCGGTCTCTGTGGGAGGAAGGAGAGCATGTCCATGAGCATCAGAGCCACCTCCATTGACCCTGGCTACCCTACAGAGCTCATGGAGCAGGCAGGGGAGAAAAAAAACAGCCCAATCCTCCCAAAAAAAAGCCGTAAGTCCTGCTGCACTCACGTTTGGCCAGGTAGACCTTATGGATGAGCCCCGGCAAGACGTGGCCATCCTCGATGTTGAAGTTGTCGTGCGGTCCGAAGACATTGGTGGGGATGACGGCGGTGAAGCGGCAGCCATGCTGCTCGAAGTAGCCCCTGGGTGAGAGCGTGGGGGGTGCAGGTGGGTTGCCCACCAGCCGCAGTCACCCCACTCCAGCACAGAGCTGTCCCTAGAAGACCCCAGCCAGCAGCATCTCCATCTGCTGAGCCCAGGTATCTTAGAATCATAGAATCGTTAAGGTTGGAAAAGACTCTTAAGATCAAGTCCAACCGTCTCCAACCCTGGAGGTATTTAAAGAATGGATAGATATGGTGCTTGAAGACATGGTATAGATGAACTTGGCAGTGATAGGTTGATGGTTGGACTCGATGATCTTAAGGGTCTTTTCCAACCTTGACAATTCTATGATTCTATGA